TCTCTCTCTCTCTCTCTCTCTCTCTCTCTCTTCTTCCTCATTCCCCCCTGTTGTCCTTATTCCTCCTCCTCCTCCTCCTCTTCTTCCGCACTTCTTCTTCTTCTTCTTCCTCCTCTTCTTCCTCGCTTCTTCTTCTTCTTCCTCCTACTCTTCTTCTCCTCCTCTTCTCCTCCTCCTCCTCCTTCTCCTCCTCCACCTTTTCTTCTTCTCCTCCTCCTTCTCTTCCTCGTCCTCGTTTGTTGTCGGCCTCCTCCTCCTCCTCCTTTTCTTCCTCATCGTTTTCTTGGTCCTCCTCCTCGTCTTCAACCACCAACTCCTCCTCCTTCTTCTCCTCCTCCTTCTCCTCCTCCTTCTCTGCTCGTATCTGTGATACAAAGTTGTGTTCACTGTCGTACGCATGGAGATAGGCGAAACACGTTGGCCTTTTTTTTTTTTTTGTCAGTGTTGTTGACCATTCTATCAATTGATCAATCAATCAATCAACCAATCGATCAATCAATCGATCAATTCCCTCCTCAATCAATCAATAATCAATCAATCAATCAATCAATCAATCAATCAATCAATCAATCAATCAATCAATCCATCGATCAATCGATCCATCGATCGATTGATCGATCGATGGATCAATCAATGAATCGATCAATCGATCGACCGATTGTTTCATTGATTGATTGATTGATTGATTGATCGATCGATCGATTGATTGATTGATTGATTGATTGATTGTCTGATTGATTGATAGATTGATTGATTGATTGTACTCGTTGTGTTCATTCGGTGATGCAGCTTGCAATTCTGTTGCGTGGTTGAGCGAGTGTCAGCTCCACTGCCGTTTTGTCAACTTCACGCCGTTCGTTCATTCCGTCGATCTGCGTGGCCTTTTTTCACGCGCTCACTCGTTCCTGCATCATGACATCGGTGAACAGACGCCGCTTAGGCACCGCCTATCCACCCTTTCAGCCCGTTCCGGAGTCGAAGCAGTTGGACTTGAGGCGTTCACACGTGGTGTGGCAGTGGGTGTTGAGGGGTCAGGAATGGGGTATGTTGGGCGGCGACAACTACTTGATGCGTTGCCTGCCGCCTATGCGACGAACTCTTTCTAGGGTCAAGGTCGAGGGTAGTCGACCACTTCACGAAAACGAAGGCGCATTGTCCTTGACGGACCGGGGACATATTATGGCAAAAGCAGCGCGCAGGGGTAGTGTTGAAAGACCCACTCTCACAGAGGTTGGCTGCGGAGCATGCCCAGGCACTGGAGGAGGGGCTGACGACAGAGGATGAGCTTGCGCGTGATGTTGGGGGCATGCCGGAAGTTGCTGCAGCACAAGCACATGTTGATGGCATGGAGCAGGGTGGCCATGCAATTGGCGAGGACAATCATGGGGAGGATGCGCCCCCACAGAGAAATGCTATACATGATGTTTGCGACTGCTTGCGAGCTGTCGTTGGTATGGGGGCTGCAGGCGATGAGGCGGCCACGAGAGCTAGTCCGAGTACGAAGGCTGTTGCTACGCAGCTCCTTGCACGATCGAGACTGTCGACATTGGATCCTTTTTTGGGGGGGAAGGTGCAGAAGGATCTCGATCGTCTTCTGGCTCTGGCTATGTATCGAGGAGGTGTGCCATTCAACAGGCTACGGTTGAAGGAGACGTAGGATTACTGGGATTACATAGTCACACTTTTGCGCCCCACCATCGTGCCAGTGCCACGCCTCCTCTCGTATGAGGGAGTGCGGACGAGGATGCTTGACATCATTTTCCATGAGGTTGTAGCGCTTATAGCCCCAAAGAAGGTGAAGTGGGCGGATACCGGATGCACACTATTGACACGGACCAGACGAACAAGCCGATTATGAACTTTATCGCAGCAGGGCAGTCAGGGCCGGTCCTCATTCGAACCATTGACATGTCGGAACGAGAGAAGACTCACATCAGTCTCGCTCAGATTTGGGAGAGCGTCATTCACGACGACATTGGAGTTGATCGTGTCAATGCGATATGCACTGACAACGCTGAGGTGATGAAGACAACGGCGAGCGTTCTGCAGTCCCACCCGGACCCCCAGATTGCACGCATTCCTTGGATCCCGTGTGCAGCGCATTGCTTGAGCTTGCTGCAGAGGGACATTGCTGTGCAACCTTGGGCGCAACTGATGAAGCGGGCGCACAAGATTGTTAAGTTCATGAGAAACAAACAAAAGGCGCAGACACTTCATCGCAAGGCTGGGGGTTCGTTGAACCTCAAGCGACCTGCGGACATGCGCTTCAGGATTGCTTACATGATGTTGGAGAGGTTATGGGACCAGAGGGAGGTGCTTGATTCAGTGGTTTCATCTGATGCTTGGAAACGACTGCGGTGGGCAGGGGATGCACGGGTGAACGAGCCAGAGGTGCGCAGGCTATGCAGATCTGATTGGTGGTGGAAGGAGTTGAAGAGGGTAATGGACGTGATGGAGCCATGTTACACTTTCCTCAGGGCCATGGACCTTGACAGATCGTCACCCTCAGGATTGTGGGATTTGGAGTCCATCCTCACCAGGATGATTGACACTTTGCAACTGCCAGCGGGTGAGAAGGCTGATGTGATGGAGATAGTGGCCGATAGGCGCGCAATGATACGTCAGCCTACCCACGCAGCAGCGTATCTGCTGGATCCTCGTCGGCGCGACTTATCATTGTTAATGGATCGCTCAGCGTCAGTTGTTCAGAGCGCGTTGCACCACTTCGCACGACATTTGGGGGCACGGTGGAACGCAGAGGAGATGCATGGTCTCTGACATGCGTTGTGGACTTTCCACAGTGACGACCCTTGGTACTAGCCCCAGGATGGCGGCCCTCATTGGTGGGACGACATTCTCGTTCTCGATGCAGCGAACCTGACCATGCACCCGGCGTTGTGGTGGCACCTTCATGGCGGCCGTCACAAGAAGTTACAGAAGATTGCGAAGAAGGTGTTGGGCATGTGGTCAACAACGTCCCCCTGCGAGCGCAATTGGGCGACACACGAGTTCATCCACACGAAGAGACGCAATTGCCTCTCTGCGAAGAGTGTGGAGAAGTTGGTGTTCATCCACTAGAACATGCAGCTTCTCACGATAACTAGGCCGCCGGATCATCGACCTATGGTCCGATATGGTGGAGGATCCCCCTGAGGAGGTGGATGATGCCGATGTCATCCCACCTGACGAGCAAGAATGGGAGGTCATGGACCGAGCCAACCGTCGAAAGGACGGTCGTGGTCGGGTGACTTCTGGAGGAGGGGTAAATGATGACGGTCTTGGTATGGAGGTCTGGCAGGATGTGGTGTGGATGCACCGCGAGATGATGGAGCAGTCGCAGGGGGAAAGGAACAAAGGGAAAGCGCTTGCAGAGGAGCAGCATGACCTTCTGGACGAGTGGGCGGAGTTGGACCCTCACAGGAACTTTAACGGCAACATGGATGGTAGTTTGCAGACGGTGAGAGATCTCCGGGCGAGGGTGGGAGGTCATGTAGATATGGAGGGTCTATTGGCCAGAGATGCTGCGGAGGACAAGGAGGAGCACCGCCATGAGGACGTGATCACATCGTCTCGCGGGATGGAGACATGAGGCGCCTCGAGTTCACAGTGTCCCGCCACTTCAGACTGTGAGGTTATTCCTGAGCGTTCCCATGGTTGCGACGTGGGCAGAGAGGATGCTACAATTGAGGACCCGCCTTGTTCGGCGACGATCGCTTCTGTTGCTGGCATCGGCCACGTAGTTGGGAGTGGGGGGTC